GTCTAGAAGGAGATAATATAAAGAGCGAGTTGGTTTCGCGTATTCAGATGTCGATCTCTGTCGAGATTTCACTTTCGCCGCGCGGTGAAACTTTTAATCGCGAAGCACTTACGCCCCTTTGCCAGCAATGTCACCCGTTAAACCCCCGTCACGCGCCTATGTTTTCCAGGTCAACGATGCTTCGTTAATTGCAGCTTCTCCTCCTCCTCCTCGTGCAGAAGATCGTTATCGCGCTTCGGTTTCAACCTCTTTGATCGAACCACGCTCTTATCCTCACCCTTCAAATGTACGCCTTCTTTCGCACGCTCATAATCTCCCAAATTCATCTCGCGTCACCCTCTGACTTAACTCGCGATACTCCTCTACTAAATTTCCCTTATTGCCCTCTCCACCCTTTTCCTGTCTTTCGCTACTCTGTCCATTGGACCATCGACGCACAGTGTTTCGAAAACGGTGTCTGACCGCGATAAACTGTACTCGTAACGTCTTAACAGCGTCAAATTATTCTCTACTTGCTCGGACTCGTACAACTTTGCATACTGATCGTTCTTTCTCTATTTCCATTCTCTTACCGTTTTCCTCCCCTTTTTATCAACCTGTACGGTACTCTCTTATCTCTCTCTTGGAGCGTAGGCTTCGCCTTTTCTAGGCGGAGAGGTACACCCCTGTGTACCCGGGCGACCTTTAAAAGATAGACGGGTGTTTCGTTTTTACGTTACACGTCACCTCGTGTCCTCCCCTTCGCTAATTAACAATCTCGTTATCTTCGCGGACGATTGCACAGACCGGAGCGCGCTCGACATTAATTTGCCGTAACGCGTCGCTTTCTATGGAGGGCCATTTCCCCTACTTATCGCCGCGATTCGCGATTGTCTCTCTTGAAGGGGCCGAAGAAAAATAATTGCGCCTACTGAGTGAACCGGAAGGAACGATAACGACACCGGCTAACGACTTGGCAAACTGATGCTGCGCACCTAAATTTATCACGAGAATGGAAATTAACTCTCGTTTCGCCGTTTATTTCCCACCCTTTTTTTCTCTCTTCTATCCACCCACTCTCTCCCGCTGGAGGTGCGTCAGGCCTCGCTTATCATCGACGCCATTAACGCTCGCTTAAATTCTACGAGCTAATTGCTTTTCTTCGCTCCAAGCGTCACATCTTTTAATCTTATTAACTCCGATCGATTTCCCGTCAAGCTTCTCGAGGAGTTTCCTATAAAGGTTCGCCGAAAGGAGGACAGGTGAAAGCGACGCGTGTTGGAACATTCCAACGATTTACGCAACAAAACTCTACGCACACACCAGAGAAGCGGGGAAGAAGAAACGACGGGAAAATAATTCCTCGAGATAAATTCGCTTTTATTCGTCGTTTCGACGGTGGCCGGTGGTCTTTCCTCTGCCAACAGTTGGACCGCGTTTCTCCACCTTCCTTCGGCCGCAGTCCTCAACAAGAGAAAGATGTCTTCTTCCGGTAGTTTTATCGATTTTTAAACGTTATCTTGCAATTTCGACGGATGCACCTGCGGTTAACGACACCGAACTCGCCGGAATTTCCAGCTCTCTGCCACGGGCCAAGCTGGAAGAACTTTGACTCTGGCATAGTACGTAAATATTCGTCAGCAACAGGTCTCTATAATATTGCATGTGAATCGAAAGTACGGCAAACCGCTTTCGGCGTATGCGATATCCGAGTAAAGTTCAACCAGAGAAATCCAGAAAAGGTGTCTCGTTACTCTCGCGGCGTAATTGGGTGCTTAACCAAGATATCCCTCGTAAAAGTATATATCTTTCTAATCGATACCAAGTTTCGCTATGAAAATTCCAACAAATCTCTACCTTCTTTCTAATTACATTACCCAGCTTCCTGTTGTGTGAAACGTGCATTCACTCGACGATACTATATGCACCTGATAAACGAACGAACCAACCAACAAATGAAATAATGGTCGGAATAATTGTTTCGTCGCGATCACATAAGCGCGCAACATTATCGCGGCGCGTGACGATGTAAAAATTGCCGGCCGACGGATAAACATGGGCAAACAGAGAGGTGGAGAACGTGACCGGGCATAAAAGAGCGAGCGGAGAAGCCTGGTGAATTACTTTTTCATCCGGCGCGGCGATGATAATCCGCGAATAGAATAGGGCTCGAGGCAACGAATGTTGCGCGCTCCCGGGGCATTAGCCGGTGCATGCACCTTACCACTGTCGCTTTCTGACCGAACGACCGACTTTCCTCTCCCTCCGGATCGGCCAATCCCGTTCGATCTTTAGACTGATTCTTCCGCCGGAGCCCGGCGACGGCCGGTCCGCAGCGTGAAAGCGCAGTGGAACGACCGCGAATCGTGCATGCGCGAGCAACTAGTACGCACGCGCCACCCTCCCGTCTTATATCTATAAGGGCAGCTACCCTCGACGAGGCTGGTCAGTTCTTGCCCGTTTTCGCTCGGGTTACCATCGATCGATCCCTCCCGACGTGACCTTGTTTCCGCGCATCATCTCGCCACACGACTTCTCGCTCGAACCATCCCCCCGAGTCACGCATCCGCAGCCTAGACTGGATTCGGAGGGAGGAAACGAGTTCGCGAAACGTTTCTCTGTGAAGTGTGTCTCTCCGCTCAGTGTTGCGCGCCACTTGCTCTCTCTTCTCTTCCATCGCCGGGCGAAAGTGTAAAAAGCCGCACAAGTTCTACTTGGGCCAAGGAGCAAAGAGGATAAATGCTCCTGTTGATGTTTCGCCAACGTCTTCTCAGACACTTAGATCCGGACGTTTCACATCCCACCCCGTGAACCAGCCGTCGAACCAGATCCTCGAGGTGGATCTCCGTTACCAATTACAGAACGTGCGCCTCCACGCTTCGTCCAAGAGTAATCCCTCTCTGTCGCATTGTCCGGCGATCGAGGACCACGTTGTCAGAGGTACGCTGCCAGTTCGATCACAAATGCTCGCGGAAAAGGAAGGAAAGATACCGTGTTTAAAGTAAGGGAGTGTAAAACGCTCGCGGCTGTAAAACATCGAGCTTCGTAACGAATCGCACGATTAACCGCACCGGTTGACAACCCGTGTTGAACGTATATCCCCTTTCCACGATCGGCACGTTGTTTCAATTCAAAGTTCTACCTGTGTTCCGTACGTGTTCTCCGCGATGATAACCTTCGGCATCGACATCGGTCTCTTTGATCACGGATATATCGATCGTGGGGATTTATATCCCTTTGAATTTCACCGACCTGATTAAGGGAAATTAGAGACTCGATTCGTTCTGACGGATGTCTAGCTCGAGCGAGGTCCTTCTCGGAGAATCCTCTTTGTTGCAAATTGATTCGAGTTCGATTAGACGTAGACTTTACTTGCGAAACGTACGGTGGAAACTGTATGGATTAAAAACGGTACAAAGGGGGATGTAATTCCGGGGGGATAGAGAGAGAGAGAGTTGGAGAAAAGGGAAAATCTTGATGGAGAAGGCCGGTCTGACGGTGTTGCGGTTCGTTGGCGCGGTTTGATCGAAAGGGTATTTCCTCGGCATACAAGAGAAAAGTTCTTCCGGGAAGATAAACTGCTCTTTCCCCTTAGCGTTCCTCGGTGGAAAGTTGCTCGGGCGGCGGAACTTTTCTCCAAGATTCACAAAAGATTTTTTTCCCTTCGGTGTTCGAGTATAATTCAGGGGAAGAACGGTGAAACTTTCCTCCCCCCGGGTGGAGGAGGGCGGGGAACTTTAAGCGTACGTGTATACGGAGAGAATTATCCGAGAAATTAATTATCGCCGGGGCTGTAGTGTTGTTGAATTAAAAGTAACGAAAGCCGAAGCCCGGTGGGAGGTTCCAGAGGCCGGTGTGTATTCCGGCGCAAATGGAATATCAAATGTAACCCGGCGTATTCGCGCGCCCACGGCCACGCTTCGGGGCAATTAGCGCTCCAAGTTTGCAGTTTTAAAGTTTCAAGTACACCGGCCACCGAAGAACGATCCCACGGAATAATAATAATCCGTCGTCGAACGGCTCGCCACTCGTCCTTTTCCCCTTCTCCTCGGTTTCTTTTTTTCTTTCTTTTCACCGCAATTAACTCCAGCGACCAGTAGCGTTCCCAAGAGGGGAAAAAGGTAAGATCCTTCGACGTCGAACGACCCTCAAAGAGGCAGCGTTAGTCGCGCGAACGAAACAATTTCATGGAGAGTACCAGTTTCTTCCCTCTCTCTCTCTCTCTCTCTCTCTCTCGATAATCAAACGTTCTCCGGTGGGTTCGCCGCGGCGGAAAATTGGGTCGCTCGTCGCGATACGCTCGATTTACCTGAAAAACGAATGCACCGCGCGCCGCTTCTACCGATACGTCGATAATTAAAAATCGGACCGCCGAATCCAGGGGCGAATAATTAGTCGGTGCGAGACGTTGCCGCCGCGTCTGTCGCGCGAACGAACCTTTTGTAATCCCGGCTTGGCCGAAAAGTAGGTCGAACTTTCGCGGGCTAGAAATTAAGGGATGGTTCGCTCCCCTCCCCCCTCTTGCTCTGTGTTGGTGTGTGGCTGTGCTGCATCGTTCCTGTCGGTGGATCGATTCCAGAATTATTAGGTAATTACCGCGGTGCGCCGGGAATAATTTCAGAATCGATTAGAGGGCAGAGGGAGGGGCGCGGGGATCGCTAGTACCAACTTCCTCGGGTGGAATTAAGTGCCGACTCGTTTAACGTTGGATCACTCGCCTAACCTCGATTCCCTTCCACTTCCGTTCCGCGGCCTCTCTTCTTAAATCGCTGCCTGCCGCGTGCGGAATTATCGCGGTTGAGAAAGGAAATTAGGGAGGAAGTGAAAAAAGAGATGAAATTTTGCAGGGAATCGGCCGTTTCCACGAGGAGGATGAGTCTGTACGAGACGCGTCTGCAAGCGTGCTTCTCTTAACGTCTCGATTGGCGAGGCGTGCGCGGCACCCGAGGTCAGGTATACGATCCTGCGAGGTCAGAGCACGGATCGACGGACGGGGTGGAGGCGCGATAAAAATAAAGAAAATGGGGGTGCCGGATGTGGAGCAGGCTAAGAGACGACTCCAGGATATTCTTAGGAAAGCGCAGAAGCTCGAGATCCCCCCGCAAGAAGTGATCTCGACGAGGACCGCCCAGAAGCTTCTTGCCAGAACGAAGAACGTCCTGGCATGGACCATCTGGATCACCGCTTTTCTCGTGCTGCTCACCGGTGTGGTGTACGCGCGCTGGCCAACGAGACAGGAAGTCGAGACCATTAGGACTGTTCTCAGGCGAACGGTGAGTCCCCTCAGAGATATCCTCAAGTCGGTAGTCGGTAATCGGTAATCTAGCCACAATACGCTGCTCGAGACAATGGTCGCGACGCGGCAATTACGGAACAATGCGTATCGCTGTTGCAGAACTAGCCTGTCGGATTGCAGGGAGAAAATGTATCGAATCGGTAAGCAATTGGCCCAAGTGAACTCGACGAGCCAATTCGAAAATGTAAAACGAACCCCGCCGTCGACCGATGTAACAATTTCATATTTTCTCCAATAATAAAAATTGTGCAACTGCTTACGAGTCGCCTCCTCTGTGCTCGTAATATCGCTTCCCGGGCTAATTCGAAGGGAATCGCGAATCGGAAGAACGACGTTCGTGCAAAGAATCGATCCGCCTCGGCCACTCTCTGGCCTCGATGCGAAACGGTTAACCGATAACTATTCTTTCCCATCTTCCATCTCCACCACTCAAGACCACCACCACTTCTTCAAGATTCCGCGTGTTACTTTCTTACCGGCGAGAGAGTGACACGTTTCCCCTTTCGTTCCGAAGGTCCGAACCGGACCTTCCTTCGAACCTTTCTCGCGATATTTTAAGCCAACTTCAAATTTCACCGGTTGCACGCCAGCTTCCAAGTTAAAACGGAACTAGACCGGGGGAATAATAAGCGCGCTTGGCCCTCGCCCAAAAGTGCGGACCACAGAGCGAGCGCTTTTTCTTCTTTCTTTTTCTCTCCACCTACCGACACCTTATTACACGTCACGGATTATTTCGTCATGTTCGTTATCCCGTGCCGCGGAGGATTTGTAATTCTACGACAGGGAACGCGGCCTAATGCTGTAACGTCGAATAATCCGAATAATCGGGCGACGCGGCCAATGCGTCAACGTCATCGACAGCTGACGCTATCGGTAGAGTTGTTACCGTAACGCGCGTTACCCCCTGTCTTTCGCGATGTCCCGTCGTCTCCCGAATTTCCCTCTTGTTTCGCAGTTCGGCGGAAAATTTCCAACCAAGGACAGGAGAAATTCTGTGAAAGGCAGGGTGATAATTAACGGGAGGGGAATGAGAGAAAGTAGGGGTTAATCGAATCTGGCGAGCGGGATGGAATAAATTTACCCAGCCGCTAAATTCTAAACGAACCGCGACAGCTCGTCCCCCGCTAAAAACCGTTCTACTTTAATTCGATACCGGATTCCATTTTTACCGCGCTACTTTTCGCGAATCGCGACGATCCTCGCTATTCGAATCTTGAACGAGCAAACGTGGTCGAAGCGAAAGTTCAATCAAAGTCCGATATTTGTATACGGGAGAACATGCTGGTGGATTCCTCGTCGTGAACGAAGTGAAAACGACAAGCGTACCTATCGCTAACGCCAATCGTTTGCTTCCGCGTCGCTCGGTACATATAATTATCTCTTTGTGGAAAACACAAAAGTCCTAGACATCGCGTTGCGTTCTCGATTGAAGCGAGCTGCTCGTTTATTTGCACCGGAAGTAACGTTAATTGGTAACGCGGAACAAGGTGTTTCTTTTTTTTTTCGGTGTCTGTGGAACGATGATTCGGACGGTTGAACCGGATAGACGGCGAGTTGGCTGAAACGGGGACAGAGCGGGGGGATGAGCACACGCCTCTGTCCTTTCGTAAAAAACAATTTGCTTTGTCGATTTGTTTGAAAGCGTTCCGTAACTGCGTTACGGCTCCAATTTACTCGACACCGTTATGGATTATTAAACGGGCCGGGCCGGCCGGATCTGTTGGTTGGTGACGAAAAACCTTTCAGGATGTTACCATGCTTACCTACAACCGTTTAAACCTTTTGCACTTTATCTATCCGTTCCGGCGTACGCTTCTGTTTTAAAATTAGTATTTCCAACAAATCGCTCGTGAATCGGGTAATTATCGAGAATCCCCCCTCCAATTCTCAGACGAGTCCTCTTTAATCTGAAAATTATTGCCGCTCCGGGCGACGCGTTTCTCCGAAGAATTTTCACGGAAAATTAATATACACCCGTGTGTACGTACGGAAAGTTCGGTCAAAGTAGCATGAAAAGAGAGAGTGGAATATTTACGAGGTAATTAGCGCGCGCGCGCGCGCGCCAGAGAGCTACACCCTCGGAATATCTTTGTGGAGGAGTGATCGTCGGCTACGCGTGAAATTACATCGATTCGTCGCATTCCCTCCCTCCTTCGTCACTCGGAATATTCCCGGCAGCATCGTTTCCCACCTTTGGCCACGCTTCCAATTTACCACGGAATTTCTTCCTCGCCGACATTTTCGATCGAAAGGACCGAGCGTTTAATTCGCGCGAATTAAACAGAAACGCGAGTGCAGAGAGGGAGGAATATGGGTTCATTTTTTTCTGTTTTTTCTGTTTTTTCTGTTTTTTCTGTTTTTTCTGTTTTTTCTGTATTCGACCACGGTGGAATAGCAGCAGGTTGAGTTCCCGCTTGAAAAGTAGCTAATGAACCGGCTTACGACTTACGGATGCTGCGGCTGGCTGTATGGTAATCGCGTTAACTTACTTAATTAGGGTCCTGCTGCTCGCTAATCAACTCGAAATCTCTTTCGAAGGGTTGTTCAGCTTTCACCTCCTCCCCCATCCACGTCCAACCGTTGGTGCATTACACTTTTATCCAGAGCGAACCTTTCAAAGGCTAATTTACCACGGTGTCATTTATCAGCCTCTTGTTCACGCCGCGCGGCGTTATTAACCGTTCGGCTATATCTCCTCGATACGGTGAAACTTTGTAATTTAAACGAATACCTGTAAACTATTAATCCGTTTTATACGTGATTCATCGTTGCCGTTGTATCAACACCAGACCCCACGGAGATACACTTACGCGAACTCTACTACTCCGTCTCGGAACAATCGCGATCGAATATTTATTTATTTGAGAGCCGAAGGAAGGAAGGTAAGCTGAAAGCGGCGTTCCCCAGGCGCACGGATGATTGTATCTCGAAAGGGAATTTATGTTTACACAGTCGGGGAGCAATAACGTTACACGGCGTTGCAGTTTTCTCCAAGAATAATCTTCCTGTCTTGGAATTCCTTCCCACCAGAGTATCTACCACTCTATATCTTTCCCCCATTAAATCGCGCATACCTGCTCCATATCACCGCATTCCACGAATCTCTCTTTTCTCCCACTCCCCGGGTCCAATCGTCCACCCTTCTTTATCTCTTTCCTTTTTTTTCCGGCCGACGATCGACCGCACTTTCGACGGGGTGCCCGATCGCTCAGACTAGGCAGCAAAGATTTCGCCGTGAGAAGACGGCGCTTACACGCACTAAACATTTCCGATTAACCGCTTAATTAATCCGCTTGTTCCCGAGCGTCTACAAAGCGTTGACCTCATTATCTGCGAACTCGACTGGTAAATTAATTGTTGCTCACTCCCTCTCGAGGAGTTCGGTCGAGGAGGCAAACTCGTGTTAGTTTCAAACTTCCAATCAACCGCGCCACATATCTTTTCAGCGACGATAGATCGTGCGGCGAATGAAGAATTTAATACATATTTGTTGCACCATTTTTCTCCCTCGGCTCCAAGACTGCGGCCATTTTTCACGCGGAAATATCCCGCGGGATGGTATCCATTTTCCTAAATGGAAGAAAACGCCTGTACGTACGTTCTTTCGATATTCCTTTGTCCGTTTGGCGAAAACATTACGTCGTCGAGGGAGCAATCCCAGGATCCTAAAACCCCGACGCAGTTTCTCGCTTCGACTTTGCGTTTACCGCGTGGAAATTAATAGGATTCGTTGAAAGCTTTTCGATATCTACGCCAAGATGGATCGATCGAGCCTTTCTCTGATGCCTCCAGACGACTATTCTGTCGCTAATACTTTTTCCCAGCTTTGTTTCGTCCTCCCTTGGTCCAAATTCAAACTAACCTGTCACGAATAAAACTCGGATCGAGTAACTCGAAGCCAGTTGGAGTGGCTGCCGGCTCTCCAAGTGCTCAATTTCCATGGAAATAGCAGCGAAACAGCAGCATCCCTCTCTCCTTCTGCTCTTTTTTCTCCGTTTCTTTTTTTTTTTTCGTCGAAACGCGCGCGCGGAATGCGACGAATGCGATCGAATGGAACCATATCCACTCGAACCTGTCCCGTTTTCCGTTCCTTTCTCGGTCCCGACGAGCTTTCATTTGCTCGATTACCATGTGTTGTTTCGTTGGCGAAAAAAGCACGCCGTTTTCTCGGTGTTCTCCACCGAGGGACACTAGGCGGCCCGTTAAACCGGCTATTTTCCGCGTTACCCCGCTGTTCCAACGATCGATCGAGAGGGAAATTTCATTTGTACGAGGTAGAACCGAATCGCCGCCGAGTCGGCGAAGGAGAGCCACGCGAGCATGTGTGTCACCGTTGTCAGGTTTCAGTCTCTGTCGACTCGGTTGCGAACGCTGTTTTACGCGACCGCGATCTCCCCCCAGCCAGCCAAGATTTAAACGGCCTTTCAAACAATCGCGCCACGGAAATGCTCGCGTGTCAGATTCGAAGAAGAATCGATTCGTTCCAATTAGTGGATGTTCCAGTTCAAACGAGGGAACACGGACGATTAATTTCCAAGCGTGACGAGACCGGAGACGTCGTCGCTCGAATATCGATGCAAAGTGTTCTCCTCTTTCGCCTTATCGAACTTTCGAACGATCTCGAGTAAATAGTTGCACGCGGGGAGATATTTCGGAAGACTGGCAATTTCGTAGGTTTTACTTGTTTTCTAAAGGGAGCACTTTGAGTGCTGCAAGTACACGTATTTCTCCGCACAATAGCATAGAAAGTCGCGGAAGAGACAATCACGGTTCTATTGTGCAGGGTCACGGACGAGACCTGTGATTGCGTAACGCTCGCTCGTAAATTTCCTCCTTGCCAGCGGAGAAAATCTCTGCCCTAAGAGAACGTTCGTCTAACTGGAGAACACCAGAGTGGTAGAAACCTTCTTCCCCTCTTTCGGCTTTATTATCCAACCGCTGTTTCCCGCAATTAGGTATTTTCGCCGTCGTTCCAGC